TTTTTAGACCTTAGGAATGTGATTTTTTATCAATAATTTTTTTAATAGCTTTATATTTCCAATTCAATTTTGCTAGATTGTTAATTCAGAAATAATTCTAAATCAATGTATTTTATCAAAATAATTGCTTTAATCCCAATTTTCGACCAAAATAAAGTAATTTATGGTACTTCCTGTTGATTTGGCTCGATTTTCAATAAAATAAATGTTTACATGATTTAGGTTGATTTCTGTCTTAAAATCGAGCCAAATCTATTGGAAATAGCACACATTGCTTCATTTTGTCCGAAAATTAAGATTTAAACAATTATTTTGTTAAAATATATTGATTTAGAATGATTTCTAAGTTAAAATCGAGGAAAATTGGATTGGAAATAACTAAAAAATGTAAGAAAACTGAAATATAAGCATTTATTTTATGTTGAATACATTGATTTAGGTTGATTTTTGTTTTAAAATCAAGCCAAATTGATTGTGCATACTATAAATTGCTTCATTTTGGTCGAAAATTGAGTTTTAAACAATTATTTTTTTACATATGTTGGTTTATTTTCACGCTTAAATTTATTTAATACTCATTAGTAATTTTTTGTTCAAATTAATAAACAAAATTGTTTTTTCAAAAACCGTAAATACAGCGCAAAATTTCTTTTCCCAGTGTAAAATACAGTATTATCTACAAAATATTTTAGAAGCGGTCGATTGTACTCTATTTTTTACGTAGAAATAACTCAAAGAGGCGAGAAAAACTATAATTTTATAATAACAATATACATCTAAATAGGGTTGAAAGTAACAAAGTTGCTTCCTTAAATGTAAAAAATGTATAATTTACTGTTGTAGAAACATGTTTCGGCCATCAATTGCAATCATCAGCCTAAATTTCAATTACATTAAAAAATCATCACAAAAATTATTAAAACTTCCATTGGAACCAAATTAATTTAAAATTACTTCAACCAGGAATAGAACTGACTTTTTTTTATAAAAAAATTACGAAAATGAAACGGGAAGGGTGGTAATATTTTTTTTATAAATAAAGCAATTTGTGCTATTTCCAATTCAATTTGGCTCGATTTTAACCCAGAAATAATTCTAAATCAATGTATTTTAACAAAATAATTACTTTAATCTCAATTTTCGACCAAAATAAAGCAATTTATGGTATTTCCAGTTGATTTTCAACAAAATAAATGTTTACATGATTTAGGTTGATTTCTGGCTTAAAAATCGAGCCAAATCGATTGGAAATAGCTAAAATCCCTAAATTTTGTAAGAAAACTGAAATATAGGCATTTATTATGTTGAAATACATTGATTTAGGTTGATTTTTGGCTTAAAATAAAGCCAAATTGATTGTGCATACTATAAATTGCTTCATTTTGGCCGAAAATTGAGATTTAAACAATTATTTTTTTATACATTGATTTAGAATGATTAATTAAACTTAATATACACAATAATTTTTCTACAATTGTATCAATAAAAAAAAATTAAAGAAAAAAAACATTCTAAACAATCTGAGATGTTATTAATCGACGTATTAAATTTTTAGACCTTACAAACTTTTTCATTGACTAATAAAATCAGGGTAATAGTTTTAACATAAAATGAAAATTCCCCACCAAATAAAAACACCAACAGAATCTGTTGATCTGTTATTTTTCTTGAAATGAGTGTTTCATTCATTTTTTTTTACTCTTTTCATTGTATTTAATAATAAAATAGGTAGTGTCGTAACTGCTTTAGTATCGTTATAAGATTATCAACTTTTTTAAAACAAAATTTGAATGTTTCATACCATCCGACTGCGTTGTTTGACTGGACCCTTGTTCCTCACTTCCAGGAACGGCTTCTTGTGGTGAAGCTTGCAGGGGCGTACTCGGAACACTTCTCCCCGTACCTAAAACAAAAGAAAACACTCGTATTAAAAAAAAACTCATCAACACGTGCACCAAAATCCATACTATTCTCATCCATATTTGTGACTTCTAGCGTCTGTTCAGGAACGACCTCACTAGAACCGGCAGTAATTGGCGGAACAGATTCATTAAAAGTAAACCTCCCACTTGTGGGCACATGAGGAGAACTAACGGCCTCACCAAAACCGTCAGATCTTCTCGGTACAAATAAAGTAGGCGTTGATGGAACAATACCATCATCACCGCCCTCTTCCAGCCCATGTGACAACAACTGTTGTCTGGATAGGAGAGGGGCTATAGGTCTAGTTCGTGAAAAAGAGGGCATTGTCATGGAGACTGACGTCGAGGCTTGGGATAAGGTTACACCACCGGGGCCCCCTTGAAGCAAATAAAAAATAATGAAAAAAAAAATAAATAAAATAACCAACCACCAAAAATCAACTAAACAAAAAATTTACCATCAGTGCCACTACTTGTAGCTTCCGGTTGGGCTTGCTCAACATTTTCTTCCTGTGAAGGTTCCTCCTGTAAAGATCGTTCACTTTGATTGGGTACTTCACTCGAATCTTCAATTACTTCAACTTCATTTCCACCTTCTTCATCTTCAACATCTTGACAATCGGCATCTTCATAGTTATCTTGTTCCTTAAAGTTTATGCACAATGTTAAATCATTGTCGTCTTCTGTTCCATTACATACCATCACTTCTAAATCATAACCTTCAGTATCAGGATCATCAGGTTCATCATCAGCACCTTCACCTTCATCAGCACCACCTTCTTCATCACTTTCAACAACAATTACATTATCATCGTCATGATCACGTTGACTACTTGTTGGAACTTGATATTCTACTTCTAAACCACTGTCGCTTACTGTTCCTGCTTGTTGAACTCTAGTTCTTTTACTTTGTTGTTGAGTTTTTGACTGTTCTTCACTTGTATCAGTATCTGGATCTCGTTGACGTTTTAGACCAGCTTGTGTTGTTGTAACTGTATTCGAACTACTACTACTACTGGTTCCTTGTTCTTGGGTTGGTCCACTACTTGGGGGTTCTACCCGCGGAAGAACTAAAGCAACGGCTTGTTGTTGAGGCGCAGACTGCAACTAAACAAGTACCAACATTACAAATTTAAAGTTCATAGACTTCAAGAAGGATATCGATAGGCGGAGCCAATGCGTACTCGGTGTAGTGGGGAAACTTGAGCAGTGGCGTAACACAGAACCATTCTGTGATAAAAAGGGAATTGTAGAGTTGCATTTTTTTTCGTATATTCATTGACTGTGATATTAAATATAAAAAATTCACGATTATTTCAAAATACGGTGATATTAATTTCTGTATAAATAAAATACGAACAAACAGTAACGAATAGATTCGTTTATTAAAAATATAAACATATTAAAAACAATTTTTGTATCATAATTAATTTTAATTAATTTTTCAAAGTTAACATTTATAAGATGCCCCTGTTAATAAGTAGGTATATTAAACATTTTTTAGTGATGTTTTGTTTTCATACCTAGTCTATTGACTATGTAAGAAGATGAACCCTCAAATTCTTAGCGACTAATCAATGACTCTTGTAATAAAAAATTATATTAAAGAATTTTTTGTATTATCGACTTACTTCAAATCTCGGATTTTTAATTTGTCAAATTATATCACTATCTCATAATCTTTAGACCTCATAATTTTGTTTCATTTTTGTCAATGTTTTAATTTTCGTTTGAAAGATATGAAAAAAAGTTTAGGCCCATACATCAAATCCAAAACTTTACAGTTGATTTCATAACATTATATTGCCGCAAGTACGAAGTTATCAAGTTATTATGTATGTATATACAGAATATTCCGTTTTTATTGTTACAAGTTAAATTTTAAGACAAAAGTTTTCTATAAACATGTGTCGAAAAATACTATGTAAAAAAGCTATACCTGAAACCGGTGCGTTTTTAATAGGTTTTTAAATTACAACGTTTGGTATAGCTGGTAACCTTTACACCTAAACGAGATAATTAAAGATCAAATGTATACCTTAAAAAATGTGAGTACCTATAGAAATCGATTTATTTCTTGGAGTTATTGCATTGTGTTTTGTATTAGCTTTTTATCATTTTTGTCAAACAAAAGTGTCTATTAAATTGAAAGAGTTGAAAGTATAACTCTAATATCYGTTAGTGTTTCAAAAGTTATTTAACTTGCTTAGATGCCTTAAAAAAGTTAACTTATATAATAAAGTAATAAAATATTTTTATTACAGTATGTGGATTATTTGTTTTCCTCGAATAAATAAGTGCGAATACACGCCACTGCTCTCAGCTGATTTCAGAACTCCCCTATATTTACGAATGGAGTCGTCCGTGACGAGTTTTCGTCTTTGCGCATCCCTTCCATCGATATCCTTTTTGGTTTCTATGAACTCTAAACACGTGCAAAAATTGAAATAATCTGGCATTTCACAGTTATGTAAAAAAGTCTAAGCCCAGTTTTGAGATTTAAATTTTTTCACCGATGAGTTTTACAAAAATCTACAGTTAAAATTATTGCAAAAATAAGATAACAAAGTCATTCTAATGACGTTAAATGTAAAACGGCCTTTAGATATTAACCTCACTTTCGAATTAATGTCACTAATAATTTTGACGTTTTAGACTTTTGAAAAGTCAAATTTGACATTAAAGCCTGCTTTACAGTGAATTTTCAAAAAGTGTTAAAAATTTGTCGGCTGTCCCAAGCAAAAACACAGTAACCGACAATTCAAAAAAAAGTTTTTTTTTTTACATTTTTTGGTTACTTTCACTCTTACTCATTTAATACTCATTATTAATTATTTGTTCAAATTTAAAAAACATTTTTTTTTCAAAAACCGTAAATACAGCGTAAAATTCCTCTTCCCAGTATAAAACACAGTATTATCTTCAAAATATTTTAGAAACTCACGATTGGACTCCATTTTTTAAGTAGAAATAACTCAAATAGGTGTGAAAAACTGTATTTTTTCTAATTATATAATAACAACATAAGGGTTGAAGGTAACAAAGTTGTTTCCTCAAATTTAAAAAATGTATAATTTACCGTCGTAGAAACATATTTCGGCCATTATCAGCTTAAATTTCAATTACATTAAAAAATTATCATAAAAATTATTAAAATATCATTTGGAACCAAATTAATTAAAAATTACTTGAACCAAAAAATACGAAAATGAAACGGAAAGGGCGGTAAAGCCGACACCTTCCCAAAATAATTAAAATATTTTGCCTTTTATGTCTTTTGCCTATATCTGTGATATTATTCATTAATTATAATTGGGTCGTTGCACATATTTTTTTTTATAAATAAAGCAATTTGTGCTATTTCCAATTCAATTTTGCTCGATTTTAACCCAGAAATAATTCTAAATCAATGTATTTTAACAAAATAATTGCTTTAATCCCAATTTTCGACCAAAATAAAGCAATTTATGGTATTTCCAGTTGATTTGCCTCGATTTTAAACAAAATAAATGTTTACATGATTTGGGTTGATTTCTGGCTTAAACCGATTGGAAATAGCACACATTGCTTCATTTTCTCCGAAAATTGAAATTTAAACAATTATTTTGTTAAAATATATTGATTTAGAATGATTTATAAGTTAAAATCGAGGAAAATTGGATTGGAAATGGCTAAAATCCTTAAGTTTTGTAAGAAAACTAAAATATAAGCATTTATTATGTTGAAATCCATTGATTTAAGTTGATTTTTGGCTTAAAATCAATCCAAATTGATTGTGCATCTACAAATTGCTTCAATTTGGCCGAAAATTGAGATTTAAATAATATTTTTTTTTACATATTTACATTTTTTTTTCACGCTTACATTCATTTAATATTCATTAGTAATTATTTGTTCAAATTAATAAACAAAATTGTTTTTTCAAAAACCGTAAATACAGTGCAAAATTCCTTTTCCCAGTGTAAAATACAGTATTATCTACAAAATATTTTAAAAACGCTCGATTGTACTCTATTTTTTTTTAAGAAGAAAAAACTCAAATAAGTGTGAAAAACTGTATTTTTTTATATTTTCATAATAACAACATAAATCTGCATAGGGTTGAAAGTAACAAAGTTGTTTCCTCAAATGTATAATTTATCGTCGCCAAAACATATTTTGGCCATTATCAGCTTAAATTTCAATTACATTAAAAAATTATCACAAAAATTATTAAAATTTCATTTGAAACCAAATTAATTAAAAATTACTTGAATCAAAAAATACGAAAATGAAACGGGAAGGGCGGTAAAGCCGACACACCTTCCCAAAATAATTAAAATATTCTGTCTTTTAGTTTTATATTTTTAAAGTGAAAATGTCCAAAACTTCCGTAAAAGAATGCTTTGCTGTCAAAAAAACAGAGGCGAACATTTGCTAGATATTGTATTCCAGGTTTAATAACAATGTTTGAATTGTATTTTGAAATAAAAATATCTTTAATAAACAAAATTAGTTTTTGAAAATTTAAAATTACACCTCCCATTGAAAAAACCTTTATCTATTATATTATTAATTAATTATAAGTAGGTCGTCGCACATATTTTTTAATTGCATATTCTGAATCTTTATTAAAAAATAATTGACCCATCCATGTTTTCGTTTTTTTTGAAATCTTAATTTTAGTACAAAAAAATATATATCCAACTTTCGTAAAATGAAATAATACTCCAATCTTTGCGCTCATTGGCTGTTTAAATGTCGGTAATGCAGATTGCAGATGTGATTTAAGGTTATATTTTGGTGTTTGTTTATTTTAATATCTATCCAATAATAATTACGATTCTAAAAATGCACAACTGCACCAAACGGGATTTTTTTTCTCTCTAGTATTAAAAAAAAGTAGCTGCATTATCTACAAATGCAGGACGTCCAATTTCTATAAACTCCAATAAAAAAATCAGTAACAAAGACGCAAATTTGTGTTAAAAATACAATCATATGGAAGCTACAAAAATGAAAATATGTATTCTAAATTTTAATTGTTTAATAAAATAATTAGAGATTAAAATATGTGACGTCGGTGAAATTTGCAACATAATTTAAAACTAACATTAGACTTGGACATTTTTATAAATTATATGATTTATTTATCACAATACCTGCATATTGGCATCTTCATCTTCAGTATCCTGAGACGACTGAGTTGGAGGAACAACAACCTGTCTTGGTCCTAACATTGCAGCACTTGCTGAACTAGTCGATGGAACATAATCAGTATGCGAACTTGTAGGACTACTACTAGAAAGTGCTTCAATTGTACTTGATCCTGTAGTGTGCACCTAAAAAAAACAAATATTACATCACAGTTCTCAAAAATCAAAACAACTCACTTGTTGTTGTGGAGGAACCATAACAGCACTTGGACTCTGACTTGTCGGTAAAACAGTGACCGTTCTTACTTGCTGTGACATTGGTCTTATACTTGCCAAAGGTGTCTCACCACTGCGCCATGGATGGATCGGTACCGACTGAGTTTGAGTATTTGTCGAGTGACCTAAAAGAAATGTTTATTTGAAATAATGTAAAAAAAATAAAGAAAGTAAAAAATTAAAATATTAAGAAATTTAGAAAGTGAATTAAATCAAAATTAAGTTCATCAAAATCCTGAAATCTGATCAAAATTCAACCAATCAAGTAACGAATTAAATTTAATTGCAAACAAATATTTAATTCGGCCTTAATTTAATAAAAAAAGAAGAAAAAAGCAAGAAAATAAGTGAAAAATAGAACAAATAATAAAAATCAAAAATAAAAATGTTAAGACATCTAATGTAATAAAATAAATGATGATAAATAATGTAATAAAAAAAGAAAAAAAACCTGAAAAAAGGAAAGTAAGTAAAAATAGAACAACAAATTCATGATATTTATCCGCAAACGTCACAAAAGTGACACTTTTATGACTAAACTCTGTTTTTTTTTTTCTCTTAAACGTTTTTACTTTTGTCATGACATTTACCAATGTAGTCTTTCTTGTCTCTTTCGCTGCTTCAGCTATTTCTAGAGAGGTACATTGTAAGATTATCAGCATTCGATTTTGCACTACTAACTGCACTAGTTAAATTAATAAACACGTTCGAAAATCTTAACAAAAATTTAGATTCATAATTTTAGTACTGCTCTTTAAACTCGATCTGAATACGTTTACTGATAAAATAGTATATGTTATTCGGAATAAAAGTGCATATACTTTATGTATTTGTCGAGTAACCTAAAAGAAATGTTTATTTGAAATAATGTAAAAAAATACAACAGAAAATAAAAGTCAAAAATAAAAATGTTAAGAAATTTAGGGTAAATTAATCAAAATTAAGTTCATCAAAATCCTGAAATCTGATTGGTTGTTCATCAAAATTCAACCAATCAAGTAACGAATTAAATTTAATTGCAATCAAATATTTAATTCGGCCTTAATTTAATAAGAAAAGAAGAAAAAAGCAGGAAAATAAGTAAAAAATAGAACAAATAATAAAAATCAAAAATAAAAATGTTAAGACATCTAATGCAATAAAATAAATAATGATAAATAATGTAATAAAAATAGAAAAAAAAACTGAAAAAAAGGAAAGTAAGTAAAAATAGAACAACAAATTCATAATAATATTTATCCACAAACGTCACAAAAGTGACCTTTTTATGAGTAAACTCTGTTTTTTTTTCTCTTAAACGTTTTTACTTTTATCAAAGTTGTCTTTCTTGTCTTTTTCACTGCTTTTGTAAGATTGCATTCGATTTTGCACCACTAACTGCACTAGTTAAATTAATAAACACGAAAATCTTAACAAAAATTCCGATTTATAATACGTTTACTGTGATTCGGAATAAAAGTGCATATACATATTTTAACATTATAATGACCTCAACTTACCCGCCATTGGTTTAATATTGGCAGTGGGTGGTTCATTGGCTGGTTTTTCTGAACCTGAACTTGTGCTAGGTTTGGAACCTTGCTGACCAAGTTGTCTTTGTAATTGCGAAACTTTTTGCATTAATGTTTCAATTTCGGAAGCATATTTTTCATTCTCTTGCCTTCTATCAGCTAAAATATTAGCTTTTTCTTTTTCTAAATTGTCAATTTTGGTCAAAAGATCATTATTACTACTACTAGAAGTGCCTTCTTCAGCATTTTCATTAGTCGATGAACTTTCCTGATTACCTAATTGACCTTTCAACGTATTCATTTGTTCAGTTAAAGTAACAATTCGTTCTTTGGCATTTTTGAACAAATTTTTAAATCGCTCTTCTCTATCTAGAAAACCCTGTTTATGATTTTCGATTACTTTCTTATAATTTTCGTTTTCTTCTGTTAGTGTTGCTATTTGTTGATTTAATCGATCAATGACTTCTTTATTACTTTGCTCAATTTGTGTTATTCTTTCTTCCATTTCACTTCGCTGTTCTTGTAACTGTCTTTCGTTTGTATTTTGTTCTGTTTCTTTATGTTCTTTCTCTTCACGTAAAGTTTTAATTTCGTTGATTTGATCCTCACATTGAATCTTGTATTTTTTAGCAATTTTACGTATTTGAGTGAGATTATTTTTCAGTTCGGTAATATTGACATCTTTACCGGCTGTATGTTCAGTCAATAAACGATTTTCCTCCAATAATCGTTTATTATTTTCTTGTGACTGTTCTAATGATTGTGTCAATTGTTGTACTTGATTTTGCAACGAAGTCATTTCTTCCTTCAACTTGGCAATTTCTTCAGCTTGAGTGTTATTTTGTGATCTTACATTTTTCAATTGCTCCTCAAGTTTACTCTTATCTTGTTTCAATGTATTCAACTCATCAGTGATTTTTGCAACATTTCCTCGCTCGATTGTCAATTGTTTGGCAAGAGTTTCACGTTCATTTAATAATTTCTTCCAATCTTCTGGACTAGTCCTATTCGATTTTTCAATCAACATTTGCGCCCTCTGTCGCCATTTCGTACATTCAGCTCTTAATGAAATATTTTCAGTTTGCATTGCTTCTGCTTTAATACTCAATTCTCTATTTTTCTCTTGTGTTGGTGCTAATTCAGATGCTAAAGTTTCAGCACGTTGTTTCAATTCATCAATTTGACTCTTTAAACTATCACGTTCTTGACGCAATGCTCGATTACTATCAGTAATGGCATTTAGTGTTTCAACTTTTCGTAAAACCTCCGCATGTTTGGCTGCTGTTACAACAGAAACTTCTGATTTTTGACGTTCAGCTTCAACTGCAGCTTTAGCTTCTTCTAATTGTTTAGTTAACATTTCATGTTGGGATTTTAATCGTTCATATTCAGCTTCCATTATTTCAGCTTTACTAACAGCAATATCTTTTTCTTGACGCAAATACTTAATTATTGTTAATAATTGTTCGGAAGACTTGACTTCGTCTTCAGTGAATGATTTATTCATGGATAAATCGGAAACTGAAGATGATTCAGTCGCTTGTGCTTGGAATAAAGATAATTGTGTATTGAGAGCTTGAATTTGGTCTAATAATAAACTATTTTGGGCATCCATATCTTTGAAACGTTGTTCCAATTCTTCACGTTCTTTCTGAATGATTTTTTCTCTCGTTTCCCATGAAGTTTTATTCTCGTTTAATTCTTCCAATGCACAATCACGACTACGTCTCATTTCAATTAATTCACTTGTGGTTTTCTCATATTCGGCTTTAATATCAGTGAGAATTTGTAAATCGGTTGAATGTAACATTACTTGTCTTGCAAACTTATTTTCAACAGCTTTGAGATTTTCAATGAGTGATTTATTCTCATTTCGGATGTTTTCTAACTGTTCACGTGCTGTTTGCAAGTCCATATTTTTAACATTTAATTCTTCTTCCAACTGTGTTGATTTACTACGAGTACTTGCATTTGCCATATCTTGATCATCCATTTGTAAAGATAATTCGCCTTCTAACTCTGCACATTTCTCCTGTAATTGTTTGATGGTCCCTTTCTGATTTTCAATTTTCTCCTCTAATTCCTTTTGTCGTTCCAGAAGAATCTTCATTTGATTTTCTGCATTGCTAGCAACATTGAAATACTGTTCTGATGCTTCTTTTGTATTCTTCAATTTCGATTTTAAAGCTTCGATTTCGGCTTTTGCATCATTTAATTGTTGTTCCAATTCACAAATTTGACTATTATTAGACTCAGGTAGGGCATAAGCCGAAGTTTTAAGTTTCTTCGTCAAATCCTCAATTTGATTACCTTTTTGAATCAACTCTTCTCGGTTTATTGCTAATTCTTTTCGTAATTTTTCCGCTTCTACTTGTTCTTCACTCATACGTTGTTTGGCAAGTTGTGTTTGATTTTCTAAATGTTCAGAGAGTTGCCTAAATCGATCTTGTTCTTCTTGTAGTCTTCGTCTTAATGCAGCACATTCACGATGTGCTTCATCCAATCTTGCTTCAAGTCTTAATTTACCTTCAGCATCAGTACGTTCTAAAGTTGCTTTAATTAATTCAATATTGGTTTGTATCATATTTTGGGTGTGTGATTCGCGTTTTATACTTTCACGTTCTTTGAGTAAACGCATTTCGGCGTCTTTTAACAATGCATTTTCTTTTTGTAAATTCGCTAACATTACTTCAGCTCTTGAGAGTTTTGTTTGTGCTTGCATTGTTTCGTCTTTAAGGTAGGTAATAGCTTGCTCATGCTTGATTATTGTTTCACTGTAAATTTTATTTTGTTTTTCTAATGCTGTAATTTGTTTTTTGTAAATCTCCATATTGTTTTGGGATACTTTAAATTTCTCTTCATTGTTTTCTAATTGTGATGATAATTTACAGTTTGCTTTAACCAAATCTTTAACTTCCGCTCTCATATTTTCCAATTGGTCTAACAAAATTTTCTCGTTTTCTGATTTCTCCTTCCGATATAAATCGTTTTCATTTTTGAGATGTTCGATTTTTTTCCTGAAACTCTCAATTTGTGTGAGTAATTCTTGTGTTTTATCATCAGATTGAGATTCGTTATCGTGACTTTTCTCATGTTCGACGTTATTAAATGAAGTTTCTAATTGAGGAACTTCTTCACCTGCAGCTTTAACAGCTTGTGTGTACAAATTCTTATACATATCTCTTTGATTTCCTACTGTAATCATCATTTTATTAAGTCGTTCACGTTCTTCAAGTAGTTCATTTTGGGATTCCCTCAAATGATCAAGTTTCATTTTTAAGTCTGAAATGGCGGCTGGATCAAACGATTCGGCTTCTTCTTGACGTTCGGTTAATTCACGAACAATTGCGAGTAATTTTTGATTGTTCTTTTGCAATTCGGAAATATCATTAAAAGTGACTAATTTTTTCGTAATTATATCAGCTGAACTAACACTATCACTTAAATCCATATCAGTTGAAGTTGATGAAGAACCCACTCGTGAATTTTCAATTTCTTGCAATAAATGACAAACTTGACGACTTAAATCAGCCACTTCTTTTTTATATCTTGCATTCTCACGTGAAACTGCCTCCTCAATTCTCGTACATTGAACGTTAGCTTCACGCAATTGTTGGATTTCACTCAAAAGTTGATCATTCGAATTTTTCAATATTTCATTTGCGTCCAAAGCATTGCTATAATCCTCGCGTAATTTTTTTATTAGTGGTCCTTTTTCTTCGACTTCGTGTACAATACTACTGATGTAATTTTTCAATTGGGCATTTTCTTTCTCCATGTCGACTAATCGTTCCGAAATTGTTACATATTGAGCGTAAATTTCTGTTACCGTCATTCCGGATTTTAATAGACGTGATGCTGAAGCTGCAGTCGGTGATAAACCTTCGATTTCTTTTTGGATTTGGTCTTGTTTGCAATTGTCGAGAAGTTCTTTCGAAACCTCCAATTCTTTCTTCAATAATGCAATACATTCGTTCTTCTTCGCCAAGATTTCTTCGTGAGTTAATTCCGATTCTTTGTGTTTTGTTTCCAGTTCGCCGTATTGGTCAGTCGCGTGCTTCAAGAGTTGTTGGACCTAATAACAAAAAATGTTTGTTAAAGTAAAGAAAACAACGATAATTAATAATAATTAACAACATTAACTAATATCTGGTACAAGAACAGAATTTCATTGTGATGGTCTGTACCAAATTCTAATTAAAAAAAACAGATTGTAAAAATTTTGTGCGAATATCATTGTTTATTGCTGTTTTAAGTCAGTATTTTCAAAATAAACTTAATATTTTTATATTTGATTTCATTTTACAACACAAATTAAAATTAACACAATGTAATTGCGAAAACTTTACCATAAAAAGTATGAAAACAACCATTTGTTACGACAAAAACTGTGATTTAAAAATTACTCTTATCTATACAGGCTGCGCCAGAACTCGCGCCCCAAGGAAAAATGCCATATAAGGTAGATACCAGGAACATGGTAAAAATGTTAAAAAAATTGTATCCATAAAAATTTCAAAGTTATGAGACTTTAAATTTTGCACTTTAACTCTATTTATTTCAGTTGAGAAAATAATTTTCCAAGTTTTTTTGCTACAGACTATTAAAAGAGGAAACAAAGATGCTGTATCCTAAATTGTAACTCTGTTCAATGTTATTTGTGGCTTTTATTGGCAAACTTTTTGTACCTTTACTAAATAATTGTAAAAAAAACATATACAAGATCATCAGTATCACTAAATAGACATTAAAAAAATGTCAAATAAATATGTCATAATTTTTGACAGATAGAATTTTTTAAACATTTTTTCCATTTTCCTGGTATCTTATCGTACTTAAAATTATTCTCTGGGGCACTCTGTATAAAGTTCAATTTTTGGTCGAAAAAATGCAATAAGAATTGCAAAATTTAGAAACATTTATTCTTAAAAAACACGATAACATCTTTTAAAACATGCCAATTCCCATCTATTAATTTTATCTGAAAACAAATAATTTAACCAAAAAATGCTTGAATTTATACGTTTTGATCACCCCGTATATATTTCTGTACATAAATATTAAATTATAAAACCCAGTGCAGAATTTCTAATCTATTTCTATCACTAATAAATTCTAATATGTAATTAATCAGTTGCAATATTTTAATTATTTTTTTTTTTTATGGTATGGACGTTGTGAACCCACAAACTCACAACAATTTACTTAAATTCATTGAAAACCAATCAGAATCTAAATTTCAAATAGTAAATTGTTTATTTAAAATAAATAATTTATGATTTCAACATTTTTTAGGACTACGAATTTTAAAATTGGGTTGAGAGCTACATAATTTAGTTAAATTTGTGAAAAACCATTCCAAAAAAAAATCTGAAAACGGTAAATTGTTGATTAAAATACATGAATTATAAGTTTCAACATTTTTTTAACATTACGGAATTTTAAATTATGATGAGAAGTGACAATGCACAAATTTTGTAGCACATCTGTTAATCTAAGTTTTTAAAAACCGACATTCATTTATTTATAAAGTTTAAATACAACAAATTATAAAACCAAGAAAAATTTACTAAAATTTCGATAAAAGTGAGTGTCTTTGTCTTTGAATTGATTACAAAATAAAAACTGTAAAGTAACAATAAAAATTTCTTAAATTTAGTGTTTCTATACAGGGTGTTTTCTTACTACTGCAAAAAAGTAGAACCACATATTCTACATCAAAAAATAACACTGATAAAAAAAATTAAAAACGATGTACAAATAAAGTAAAAACAAAATAACTGCAGGAAAATAAGCCCTTTCAACGGCTCACAAATCCTATAAAATTTTATGAAAATAATTCAAGTGTTTTTGGAGGAGTTAGTTAATGGATTTTTTTGATTATGAAACTTCATCACCTTATATATCTGTAATGAAGCTTTATTTGGCAAATTAGTATTATTTTTCGATGTAAAATATGTGGTTGCAATTTTTCGTAGTATTAAAAAAACACCGAGTATATAACAATTGGAATTTCTATAAATTGATTGAAATTCTTACAATTTTTGCTTACTAAATGACTACATTTGTTTAACTAGATCAAATTTCTCATATCAGTTACAGAAATTTTTTTCTTACTACGAATAAAGTTATGAATAGCAAATTATCGGAAAATTCGCTAAAAATATGTGAAATAATATACTTAGTAACAAATCATACAAGTTGAACAAAAACAAAAATTAAAAAATGCAAATGAGCTTAAAACCTGAAAATATTTTTGTTCAATTAATACAAGAATTTATTGTAGCAATTAAATTTTTAGAAAAAAGACGCATTATTAAAAAATATGATTACCTCTATTTTGATCCACAGAGTGTTCCGTTTTTCTTGTTACAAATTTAAACAGGTGATAAAATATCCAATTTTAAGACAACGTAAAACAAATTTAATTTTAAATTTTTTTGCTGTTTATAATCTGGAACAAAAATTTTAAACTGATTTCACTCAAAAACGGTAATTGTAACGAAAAAATTCAAGAGACCTCTTTTTTGTGAAAAACTATAAAATTTAAAATTTTGTTGCTGAAACTGGCAAGAAACTACACTCAAAACAACACCCTTTTAAAGCGTGTAGCTGTTTTGCATAGCATTTTTCCATCCATGTTCATACGAAAATTTTGTCTTAAAATTGAATATTCTATCAACTGTTTAATTTTGTAAGAATAAAAACTAAACACCCTGTATAATAATTATAAAAATATAGGTTTAAAACCAAAAAACTGTGTTCAATTCATACTTATTGTAAGTTGTAGTAATTTTTATTTTTGCATTTTATTAAATTGTATAAAAATGGGTTTAAAACCCGAAAAACTGTTTGCTCAATTCATACTTACACGTTTGTAGTAATTTTTTTGGATTTTATTGAATTTTTAAAAATTTTGATTACCTCTATTTTGATTTAAAACTCGAAAAACTGTCTGCTCAATCCATACTCACTATAAGTTTGTAGTATTTTTTTTATTTTGGCAATTAAATTTTAGAAAAAAAATCATTGAAAACTATTTTGATCTACAATGTCATAAAACATGCGAATGAGTTTAAAACCAGGAAACTGTGTTCAATCCATACTTATTATAAGTTTGTAGTAATTTTTATTTTTTCATTTTAGTAAATTAAAAAAAAATATGAATAATTGAAAAATATAATTACCTCTATTTTGATCTACAATAATTTCAAAAATTCCAAATGGGTTTAAAACCCGAAAAACTATTTGCTCAATTCATACTTACTACAACTTTCTAATTAATTAATTATAATTTTTGCTATTTTTGAATTTTATTAAATTTTCTTAAAAAGATTGAAAATATAATTACCTCTATTTTGATCTACAATAATTTCAAAAAAGAAAAAAAATTCCAATTGGGTTTAAAACCCGAAAAACTATTTTCTCAATTCACTTAAGTACTTACAAGTTTGTAGTAATTTTTTGAATTATATTAAATTTTCTTAAAAAGATTGAAAAATATGATTACCTCTACTTTGAATTACAAAAATTACGCAAGTGGATTCAAAACTCTAAAAACTGCTTTCTCAATCCATACTTACTATAAGTTTGTAGTAATTTTTATTTTTTCATTTTATTAAATTAAAAAAAAATGTATAAATAATTGAAAAATATAATTACCTCTATTTTGATCTACAATAATTAAAAAAAAATCCAAATGGGTTTAAAAC